ATATACTGTATATATATTCATTACGAGGTAGTAAGTGACACTTTCTTTCCTATTCTCCAGGAGGTTCCACTCCAAAGTGTTCCAATCATGTTGGGCGGGCAGAACAATGTTGACGGGGGACAAACACTGAACAAAAATCAACAGCAACAAACCATAAGAGAATTTGGTACTGTGGAAAATCATCAAACATTCTACAATGACACCATTCAGAAAATTTGGGAAGGCAGTCAGAGTTTATTGGAGACGGACTACCTGGACTATAACCACAAAACCGGACTGTTGCGTCAAAGGCTGGGTAACACCAAGGGTATCTTTGAGAACATGGCTCTACCTGACACTTACCTTCATGACTACTTTTCACAGGTACAGCATAGTTGCCTTGTATTTACTAACATTAATCTATTTACTCATCTGTTTACTTATTCTATTTCTCTTAACAGAAAGCAGTTCTTGCAGAGGCAGTGAAGGATGATTTGTTGGATTTTAATTATGAAGGTCAAGGCTCCCCTGCTGGTTCAGTGGGATGCTGCAGCCTCCTGGAGTCTGACAATGACCTACAGTTCTTAAACGATTTGGGGACAAAGTTCAAGATTCTGGCCGACATCTGTTTGCCTCCAACACCTAAATCAACAACGACATTCAAAGAAGTTCTTCCATCTGAGCCAGTTTTTAAGTCCCAAACTAAGCACACGGTTGACATGAAAAATATGAATACAAGAGTAGAAAATGAGGTAACCACTGTTGACACCCCCAAACTGCCTCCGACGCAACACTCCTCCACGACACTTTCTCAGACTAACGTAACTAACTTCAGTCATTCTGCTAACATTAACCATTCTGCTAATATTAACCATTCCTCTAACGTTCATCACTCTTCTACTTTGCCGTCTATGCCAATCCAGACTGTTGTCCTACAGCAACAGCCCATGTACTATACAACCAACTCTGTCCTACAGCCGGTGCAATATGTGGTGAACCCCCAGCTGCAGTCCACGGTTCTTCTAGCAGATGGGACCCCTGGGTCAAATTACCAGGGTCTGTATGTAGTCAGTGGAGCCCACAGTCCTCCTGGAATTAATCTACCCAAAAAGTCATCCTCTGGTCTACTCTCCAAAGGAGTCGAGAGTCCTCAAAGCCCTGGTAGCCCTACCAATGTAGGCAGCCCTAAGCAGTTAGTACCAGGAGGTCCCAGTGTGGATGGCTGGAAGGTAGTGGGGCCAAATCCAGACGGTAATTATACAATAGTAAAACAGAAGAAAAAGAAGCGTTCAGCCTCTTTTAAGGGTTCTTCACCCAAAGATGCTGTACTGGTCAAAGAGGCCGCTTCCCCTCAGGGGACATTAGTTACAGCGGCCTTGGGAAGTGTGAGTGGCATTCTGCCACGTCACACTGTGGTTCAAGACGGGAATGTTATTACTTTAAATCAAACTGGGCAAACGTGGGTTGGACTGCCGGAGCCAATGGGATTAGGACCAATGACTGCTTTAGGAGTTGGTGTTGAGCAACAAAGTGTGGCTAGTGTTGGGACAGTTGGTGTGAATCAGTTTCATAAAGTTTCTTTAGAAAAAAGAGAAATCAGGGCTGTTGAAAGTACATCTATACCTCATTATCAAGGAACAGGCAAAACAGTCAAGGTTAGAGAACTGAAGATTTAATCTCCAGAGAGTGTCCCATGTGAGAATCAGAAACATCTCAAGGGTTAAAGGTTTGAGAAGCTGATTCATGACAGGAAATTATTAAAAGTACCATTCCAAAGGTATCAAGTGACGGAGCAGGCGTC